TTTGGACTTCTTAGCCCCATAAGTTGATTCATTTTCATTAGAATTCGTTATGGAGTGATTTTGTTACGTTATGTGTTTGTTTTCCATTTTCTTTAAATTGAGACCGTTTAAGTGCAATAAACAAATCTCTATTTATTGAAAATATGTTGTGTTCTTCTATGTGAGTAGAAAAAACGTCATTGGTTTGAGAAGTTCATGGAAATCTGTGAAATGTGCTTTTCATCAGGAGAAAAAGTTTATTAAAATGCATAAGGTATTGGCGGTTTGTGAATATATTATGCATGAGAGTTATAATGAAAAAAAATTCGCTCTTTTATAAATTTTTTCTATAGTGGAAGTATGTTTTCACGCTTGATTGGTGAGTTGGGGTTCTAAGGTATATTTCAAAATGGGCCTTTGAATTACATGACTCCGGGCCGTGTGGAGAGTTGACAATCCTCCATATCGTGGTTAAGGAAATGAATCGACTCGGCCTTTGATTGATTTTTTCTATTCTTAAGTGCGTAAGTTACGTAATATATTGTCTACGTGCCTATTATACGTGTAATGTTCGATTTGTGTTCGTTTTTTTTAATTTTGTTTCGGGTTCTTGGCGGTGTTTTTCAGGTTACCTCGGTTGAAGAAGTTGATTATCTTTTGAGCTTGTTTTCCCCCATTTTATCAATAAAAAACCAAAAAAATAAGAAAAACTAAAAAAGCCAAAAAATATTTACTTTTTTACTCAACCCCCCCCTTTATTAATTCATGTTTATAGTTATATTATAGTTCTTTGTTTATCTAAGTTATATTTATATTTTTTAAATTTATTTAGTTATAAGTTTTATTAAAAGTTTTATAAGTATTATCATTTGTGTAGTAGTTTGTTTTTTATTTTATTTTGTGACAACGTGTTTGTTTACTAAATTGGTTTTAAAAAGTACGACATTTTCTTCGTGGGATCGACCCTTACTTGCCCTAGCTATAATTTTTGTTTGATTATATATTGGGGGTTAGCTAAGGTTATTTATAAATTTTTAATTTGTTTTGGACTGCACGACAAGTCCCCAACATATTTTGGCGCCGTTGCCGGGGAAAAGTATTGTAAGAAATCGTTTTAGCATGTGCTTCTGTTCTTTGTTTGTTAGAAAATTTGTTCTAGAAGTAGCTTCTTTCTTTTGTTCATATCTGTTTCCTTGTTTAATTTCTAGAATTGAGGTTTGGAAAGCTAGAGCAAACTGAAATCAGCAATGTTCTTTGTGTTTATGTTTAAATTTGTGATCAATATGCTATTTTGTGAAGAATTTGGTACCATTTTTCAGAAAACCTGCATTTTGAACATTATTTTGTGCTTTGTTGCTTGCTGATTGTTGCTAAGACTGGCTATGTGTTGATTTGAATGAGCTATGGTGTTTTTTTTCACAAATGATTCTCTGTCCACAGTGATTGCTAAAAAACTTGCACTTAAATTCTTAGTTTGCATGCTGAAGTTTTGCTCTTAAAGTTGATCTTTGCTAAATCTTGAATATTTACTTCTAAATTTGCAAACTGAGCACCATGCTCAAAACTTTTACTTGTGGATTCTTGGTGATATATGTCAATTATGCATCCGGATAATTGTTTTGCAAGAGAACGAAAAGAGCAGCATTGCTCTAAAATTTGATTTAAAGTTGCTGATTTTTCTAAAAATCTGCACTTTTTAATTTAATGTATGTGCTGATTTTTGTCTCTAGAACTGCTCATATGCTTCTAAATATATGCTCATATGCTTGAAATATGAACCATGATTGCTATATTTTGCTTAGAGACAATATTTAGAAGCATATCATGATGTTTATATGCTGATTTTTTGGTTTAGAAGCTGAATTTGCTAAAATTCAGACCTACACTGCTGTTTTTGTGGAAAAATCTGCAACATCTTTGCTTGATTTTCATGCTGAATTTGAGTTCCTAGATGCCTATTTGTTGAATTATGAACTTTAATCGTCAAAAACTTACATAGGAACTGATTTGGGAGAATTTAACATATTTTTACAAGCTGATTTTATGCCCTAAAGGCTGAATTTTCTAAAAATCAGATCTAAAGTGTTCATTCTTTTGAAAAATCTGCAATGATTTTCTGATTTGAATGTTGATTATAAGTTCTTTAGTTGCTTCTTTGTTGATATTTAAACTTTGATAGTTTAAAGCTTGCATAGAAACATGCTTTTGTTTTTTTTCACTGCGTGGGAGTGAATAGAGACCAAATTTCCAGCACTTTGATTTCTAGTTTAAATGTGCACTTAGGATTTGATTTTTAATTGAGCATCCTGTGAAAATTTTGGTATAAGAACTGCATCCTAAGCTGAAATTTGAAGGCATATATTGATTTTACTCTTTATTTGTTTTAAAGAAACACTTTTATTTCTCTTTACTACTTGATGGTTAAATTGAATATGTATTGGCAAGTAGTAAACTGTGTCTAGCCAAAGACTTTAAACCGGGCGGCTTATGGGAGGCAACCCACATACTTTTCTTGCTGTTTATTTAATTTGTATTATTGTTTGCTTATTAATCTTTTGGTTTTGTTAAAAACACAAAAAAATCATAAAAACAGAAGAAAAAAAAATCAGAAAAATCGAAAAAATTTCATCATCAAGAGTTCAGAAATATTGCTGCTTTTGGTGCTTGTTTAATGGTCTATTTTTGCTCCATGTATGCTTCTAACCATTTATTTGAGTGAAAATGCAAGGTCTATTAAGTTATAGGTAGAAGTATTCTCCTTTGGAGTGAAAGTCTGCACAGAAATGGTGCAAAATCTGGTTTGAAACAGCAAGTCCAGGTAGAAAAAAAAAGTGAAATATGATCCAAATCAGTAGTTCCAGCTGTCCCAGGTTTAAGCTTCAGTTTCCTTATCCTTTTTGTGTTCGAAGTTTGGTTTCTGATATTACAGTTTGCACAATGAGAATCTGCACTATAAAGTCATAATTTTGCTTGCAAACGTGAATTACCTACCCATTCAAATCTGATTTTTGTGCTTCAATGGTAAATATCTGCATTAGTAATGTGCAAAATTCTGATCCAGATCAGCGGTCTCAAGTACCCAATGGTTTCTCTGTTGTAAAATTTCATTTTCCTTAAGGTTTGGGTGTTATAATATGGTGATACTTAAGCTGAAGATTGAGACACCTGCATTGTTTTAAGCTGATTTTTTGGATACTAATGAAAAGTTCTGCATTTTGAAAAGTTATTTTTTGGACTTTTAAGCTGATTTTTTGAGTGCAAAATGAAAATTTTACACTTTTTACAGCTTATACGTGCTGAAATATAAACAAATCTGCAATCTTTTATTAGTGTTCAATCTGATTTTTGAGTTCATTAGATGCAAATTTGCTGAAATATGATGTTTAATGGATACATATGAGCTACGACTTTGGACCTACATGGCATAACTTTACCTTCTCATATGCTGCATTTTGTTTTGGAAGTGCGAAAAAGCACAAGAATCTGTTTTCTGGAACCTGACTTGAGGCTTGAAATCTGCATTTCTTTGAATCTGAATTTTAGTTCTTCAAAGCTAAAAAGACTTGGTCTTAGCCATGTTTTTGCAGATTTTGGGTCCATCGAGCACTTTAAGGAGGGAAAAGTGATGAGTTGATGCTGCGTATACTTTGTTTTTTTTGTTGCATTTCCCTCTCCCCTTCTCTCTTTGCTAAGTCCGTGCTTGCTTAATATTTCCATTTGGATACCATATAGATGCATTGGGGACTATGCACATTTTAAGTGTGGGGGGAGGTGCTCATGCTTGTGTCATTGCTTAAAAAAACTTTTGGGGCAAATTTTTTTTTCAAAAAAATAGGTCCAAATATTTTCATTCTTAGTTGCAAATCTTCTTATTTAGAGCATTGTTTTCAAAATTGACCCAAAAACCTCATTGTTTTTCTTGGGGCTTTATTCTGAAAGATAGCAAGTGTATACTTTATAAATCCGCATTGAGTCTTATGCTCTTTCTTGATAAAAATGACCTTAAAATGTTTGAAATCCTTCTAGGAATCCCTTAGAATTTTGTTTTCTAGAACTGGCCATCCACATACTATCTAGATGCTGTTTAATCAACCATTGCTTGATATTAAAATCTGAAAAAACACAGAGAAACCAGTTTAGGAGCTCTTTATTTTTAGAAAATTGTGTGATTTTTATATATTTTTAGGCTTATTGATGAACCTTGCTACCGCTGCTATTGAGCCGTTCTAAGCCATAGGATTCCTCTAGGAAACTTTTTTGTAGTAGCTTTAGAGCATTTGATAGAACCCAAAAAATCCACACCTTAGTTTTCCATCCTTGTAGGATTTCTAGCTCTCTTTGTTTTTAAAATTTTAATGAGCATAAAGTCTTAAGTGTGGGGGTTTAAAGTTCACTTTGTTTTTTCTTGATGATGATAAAAAGAAATAAAATATTCTTTTTGGCCCTTGAACAAGGACGTTCAACTCTTAAGTGTGGGGATATTTGATAAGTTGGTTTTGGGTTAGTATTTTTTCTTTATTTTTAGGCATTTTTAATATTTTTAGATTATGATTTTTAGTTGTTTAGCTTAGTTTTCTTTTAATTCTCATTTTTACAATCTTTTAATTTTTTTTAAAAATAGTAGTTTTTTTAATCATTTTTTACAATTTTTTTTATATTTTATTTTTCTTAACCCAAGTTATTAGATATCTTATTTTTTGGAGAAAAATATAGCAAAAGACCAAATCGAAGTTCAAGTTTAAAAAGAAGAGATAGAATTTGGGCCGGAGCCCAACCCCACCAACATATAGAAAAAGACCAAGCCACATTTCTCTTCCCCAATTGGATCTCACGCACGGAATAACGGAGAATGGAAGTTCATCGACTCCTTCTTCAGCGATAGAAGTAACGCCATCTCCAACGGCTCTTCTCCAACGTTCGCCAAAATCAATGCTCCAACGGAAGAATTTGGCTCCTCCATTCTATAAATTGAAGCTTCACAAGATGGGAAAAAGGGGGGGAAACACACGAGGAGCAACGACAAGAGAGCCGCGGCCTAGCCGCGGCGGCGGACGGCCGGCAAACGCGAACCGGAGGTGGCAAAAGCTCCGGAGAGTGGTGGGCAGTCTTCTCCAAGCTCCAATTTCTTCAATTTCATCTTCTTCTTCATCAATTGGTAACCCTATATGTTATTTCTTCAAATTTTTCTCCAATTCTATGTAAAAGTGTTGTTTTTAGTTTAATTTTTACATTTTTGTTTGTTTGTTTGTGATAATTTTAAAAATTCCAAAATGGTTGGTGTTCTTTTATGGATTTTTTATTTGTTTATATTAAATCCCTTATGAATGAGAATTGAGTCACACTGGTTTTTTTCAATTATTGCACAAGTTGATGTTGAATTGGTTGAATTGTTAATTCAATTTCATAAGTAGGTTGGTATGTGGAATTCGGTTTTTGTTGAAGCTATTTTAGCTCCATAAGATAGTTAAATGAACTCCGAATTCATATGTGAATCTTTGTCGTGCCTTGTGTTCGTTGATTTTAAGGAATTTGGACTTCTTAGCCCCATAAGTTGATTCATTTTCATTAGAATTCGTTATGGAGTGATTTTGTTACGTTATGTGTTTGTTTTCCATTTTCTTTAAATTGAGACCGTTTAAGTGCAATAAACAAATCTCTATTTATTGAAAATATGTTGTGTTCTTCTATGTGAGTAGAAAAAACGTCATTGGTTTGAGAAGTTTGCAAACTGTATAGTGCAAACTGCACTATACAGTTTGCACAATGAGAATCTGCACTACAGCTTTGTTCTTGGTGACTTGTAGTGTTGCACGACAAGTCACCAACACTACGTCCAGTCTCCCCAGAGACTCTCTCGAGCTACACTACTTTCTTTAAGCTTAGAACTGCTTAAGAAACTGTTACAACCTCAAAACTCAAGTCCCACGAGCCTCAATACATTTGCTTGGAGATATCGCACTCCAAGACTCCAATCCGAAGGAAGATACCCTCCCTTCGTACAACCAAGGGAAACAGACTTTCCTTCACGTGTGTAAACCACTAAAACACTCAAGAACAAAGCTCTCTCAGAAGAGTGGATAATGAGTAAAATAATACTGATAAGTCCGTTTTGTTCTTATCATTTATGTCATATTCTAAACGTTATTGCACGTAAATAGCATTTAATCATCTCATGAAATGTGTTTTTAATGACGAAAATTCTCATTTCCGATCTAAGAGTCATAAAATGGGATTCCACATGAAATCATCATAAACCATCCATTTTATGTTCAAATACTTGAGGAAAAGGGAATCAATCATCAAAGGATCAAGATTCGGGCTTGAACGAGCTTTCGGGAGGTCAAAAATAGTGTTTGGGGCCAAAACAGAGGGAAATTGGGCCAAAATGACGAACCAGCCGCGAAGCCCAACAAGAGAAGGGCCTGCGGTGTCCAACTTAGACGCTTGGCCAAGTAGGACGCTTCAGCTAAAAATCAGCCCAGAAATGACACGTGGCAAAACCTGGTTGGCTGGGACAGCTCGAGCGTCCAGATCTAGACGACGCTTGGACTTGGACGCTTTGACTTGGACGCCTTGGCTCCGTTCATATAAATACTGCGCGATCTCTCTCATTTTAATCATCCAATTCAATCCCAACTTTGGGATTTACACATCCCCTCTCCATTTTAGCTTGTATATTAGTTTTAGTAGTAGTTTTGAAGTATTTTCAGAGGCTTTGACTCCAGATCTGTTCTGTTCTGCTTGTACGGAGGTTGTAAGTTTTCCCAATTTAACATAATGTTATTTTAGTTTATGTTTGTATAGTATGAGTTAGGGTTCGCACACCTGGGTACGGACTAGTTTGGTTTTATACTTTGATTATTAAATTAATGTTGGAATGGTTAGTCTATTTTTCTTGCCTTAATTAGTTAATTAATATTGAAAGATTTTATTAGCTATTTATTGAGAAAATATTATATGTCGAAAGGCTATCATATTCAAGGCAACAAACTAAGTACAAAACCTAGAAATAGGTGAGTAATTATAGAAATATTATTATTCCAATTATTAATTAAATATGATAAAGTAGATCCAAATGATGTTCTGACCCTAGGTCCAGATCTAAGCTTATACTATGTGAAATTTATTTATTATTATTATTACTCTGCTCTATTTATAATCGTTCCAAGAAGCCTTTCATAAACCTGTCCAAACCTTCGCCTAATTAGAGAAATTAACTAATTCCCTCCGTCCACTCCTTGAGAGACACGACACTCGGAGAGAAAACTAACCTTTTACCGGGAAGGTTTACTACCTGAAAAACTATGATTATCAAATGGCGCTGTTGCCGGGGAGTGGCACGACATTATTTTAATTTTTTTTAATTAGCTTGGGTGAAGATTAGTTAGAACGATCTTCTCACTTCTTTTTCACCAACCACCCGTAATATCTATTATGGAAAACTCCAATGGTTAATACGGACCGCCCGCTTACTATCAACCACCCAACCTCCCTCTATCACCCACATCAGAACCCATACGATGATGACTACCAAGTCAACAATGGGTTTGACTACTATCCCTACCATGAAGAACAACCATATGATACCCCGTCTAGGAACTTTGTATACTCTACACACCTAGACACTGATGGGGATAATTATTATGAACCTCATGAAGATCAAGATGACTACAACCAACCTGGACCAATGTACAAAGATCAACCTGATCCGCTCGTCGAAGAAATAATAAGATTAGAACCGAAAATTTTCTACCTCGACGAAGTTCTATTCGCTGAAGGCTCCTGGTACGAACCACCTTACTGTCGTGACTACACCTTGTTTGCTGAAGAACAAATCGAAGCAAACAAGGTGGCAATTCTAGAAAGAGCAAAACTTCTTGAATCAGTCTGGAAGGAAAAAGAATTTGAGAGGAGATTATGCGATGGATCAGAAATGATGCAGAAGATGCTGGACGACTTCCAAAGAGAGAGACTAGAAGCCGAGGCTAAAGCTGATAGATTAGTCAATGATCTATGCAAGCCTTTTGAGCTTAAACGCTCCCTCCAATCTTAAGATCAAATGAGGGAGATTAATGCTCAAAAAGAGGCTCTAGAACCTAAGACCAACCCTGAACGATTCAACGATCAGGTCCAGGTTCTAGAAGATTCACCTAGTTCCACACCATCACAGAAACCGAGAGCATAACAACTCTCGCTAGGGCTACTGTGGTGATGTTACCTGAATGTCCTCCTAGCCAAGTCTCAACCAGTGAAGTCGTACATGAGGTGGAACCAACTCAGGGACCTGACTCAGAACCATCGATGCTTATTCAATAAAAGAAGAAGGAAGTTTTGCCTATGGCAATAAATGACCATCTCCTTAGTTGTGTTAAAGACACACCTCCAGAGGAAATTCCAATGTTCAAGATTCTGAGGAGGAATCTATAGACGAGGAAATACTTAGCACAGAGGAACCAATAACGTCTATAGATAATCATGCTTCATCAGAAGACTTATACCAAACTTTCTTTGACTCTCTACTTGACGGGTGTGACTTTGTCTGCCCGAAGGATAGTTGGAGCCAAAAGAGTTGGGATGTACTCCTGGTAAGTGACATTGAGGACTCTTCCACAGGGGTAAGCACGGTCGTAATCATTAAGCCACAAACAGATAGTCAGCCCATTGAAGATAAGGAAGAAATCAATTTCGCAATGGAGGCCAATGATGTGGATATGCTAAGGAGACTCCCGCCACCAACTACCCATCTAGAGTCTCCTCCCTATATCCTGTTCCCACCAAGCCACAGGGATGAGTCAAGGATCCTGGACCTTGACCGAGCAAAAATTCAAACAGGGTGGTATTAGAAGAGAGTAAAAAGGGCCAAACTTTATGACTCTCGGATCGGTAAGTCACGGAAAAAGTGGCTAAGGCGTCAAGCTACGGACGTTAAAGAAGCGCTTAACGGGAGGCAACCCGTCATTTTAACTAAATAAATTAAATATTTATGTTTGTTGTTTTTGAGTTTCTACATGCCACACCAGTTTTGGGGGCAAGAGTTAATTTGTTTGTTTTCTTTGATTTTGCAGATGGGAGACCCGTAGGAAATACCTTGTAGAGGAAGCGAAGAAGAAGTCCTGCACGTGGGGAAAACACATAGTGTCTCCCATCTTTGATGCTCATTGATCCAGCAGTCCTAGTTGAAGTTAGCTACTGAGAGGATATTGACTTCCTCAGTAAATTCCCTTTTTCTCTACTATTTTGAACATGATTTGGATGCTTGATTGATTTTTATTTTGGAATTTCGCAACATGACTTTTAAAACCATTTGAGAAAATTTCATGCATTATTTCATATTTACATGCCATGGTTATTTATTATTTCAATCTTCATCGTTGAATCTTGAGCACGACTCGTAGGTAACATCCAATGGCTTTTATTGGTTCAGGATTTCCAGAATATAGATTTTGTCATCATTTGTGAGGAAGTACTGTTGATCGGTTGTATAGTAGCTCGTTATTTATGGATCTTATTATGTCAAAACATTTTTTATTCACTTCGTGGTAATTCTCATTATCGTTAATGAGTCTTTGTATCAATTCATATTCATAGGTGTTGACGTTCAAGTGGCATCTCATATACGTTTCAGCGTGTTCAGCTTTCTTTCAACAATTTGGAATATATCAAGATATGTTCATGATAGTGATATGTTCAATTGTAATACTATGATTGATCTCGTCTCAAGGGAAGAAGAGAATATCTTGAGTACGTGATTCAATTTACGAATTCATAGAGTAAGGAATCTTACTTGTTCTTACATCAACATCGCATATAGGTTCGAGGGTTTTTCTTACTTGAATGATTCAGTTTCGTTCTTGTCATTTCTTCTTCTGGTTATTGAACATACATTCCCTCACTAGGTTAAGAACAGAGTTTCTTGATCAATAAGATCAATAATAATAATCTTTAGAGATAACGTAATCGCATTAATCGCTCATGTGGTTCATAGAGAGATATTCCACACAAGGTTCAAGTTTTAGGATACGTTCATCGTTGTGATCGAGTCACGTAGTTCATAAAGTATCGTTTTCGAAGATCGGTATCATAAAGCATCTTTTGGTTTAATAGAGAATTGTGGGTTTAGTATTTTGATACAACAATGGAATTCAATCTTTTCAAGATTGATTAAATGGGATGTTTCATGTGTGTAATTAACACATCAAGTTTGAGTATTCCAAGGATATGAGTTACAAGATACAAATGTAGCATTTCCGAATTATCGTACTAATCATAGTCTTTCATCCTTCGTTGTTTCACTTTTTGGAAGTTACTCAAGAGGTCATTGTCTTAGAGCATTAGCCATTTTGAATTTTCGTCTCGTATTTCAAGATAGTGAATCTAACTGTTCATAAGTCTCGATATGTCACATCATCAACGGATTGTAGTATTGGTGAGTACGTTTTCATCTGTAGGTAAATTGAAATGAATCCACTTTCATGTACTTATTTTGGCTGGTGATAATTACCCTTCCATTAATGGTCAGGTTTCAGAGGCTATATATATATCAGATTGTGGCAATAGTATCTCACATTCTCACATTATGCAAGGAACTTCTCGAACACTTCCTCACACCATAAAATCAATTGGTCTTCTTGGCAGTCATGCTCTTGGTGGAAATCCAGAATTCATGGGTATGGCCGTCGAATTAGGAGGAAATTATTAAAGCGAAGAATTAGACTTACTTATGGAGGAGGCAACATTGGCCTTCAAGGAGTTCTTGCTTCAACAGTCTATACCAATGGTGGTATAGTTAGATGTTTCATGTCAGGGCATATAGCAACACGAGGGGTCTACGGGCCAACATACGGTGCTGAGTACACAGTTTCCAGCACCTACTGTAAGTATTTCGAGATGAATCATGTTGTGGAGGCTTTCATCGTACATCCCAGAGGAGTTGACACAATTGAAGGTTTGTTCATCTTAATCTCATGGGCATCTGAAGGGTTGCACTGCAGACCTATTGGTCTTTTAAACATTGATGGTTATTTCAATAACCTAATCAAATTTCTAGATGATGCGGTGAGGCAGAACTTCATGGCTTCCAGTCAGAGGAAACTTTTCATTTCATCTTTCTTTATTGGTGTTACCGCTTCACATTTTGTTCTGTGTTGTCACCATGTCAAAATCTTTCACATCAATAGGGTATATGAACGAGTCAATCATCTAAACGATTTGTCTTGTTAGCATCACTTTACTTTATTGATTCAATCATACTTAATCGACGTTTTTTATGATAAACAACTAAGTCATTAGTCGCTTCATAATAAGGCGTCAATCCCTTCAAAAAGGTTGAGTTGTTTATAGCTTCTAATAAGCAGGTTCTTTCAACAAATCGTTAGTTCGTAGCAAAGGACAACGATTTAGTTCGTTCAAGTTTCTTAACAGGGATTTGATGGTATCCTTGCCATAAGTCAATCTTAGAGAATACAATAGATCCTCTAAGCTGATCAAATAAGTCATCGATACAAGGTAAAGGATAACGATTTGTTTAATTAATGATATGATGGTTGATACGGAGTCTCATCGATCCATCTTTATTTGCGTATGAGCAGAACAGGTATTCTCCTAAGGAGTAAACACTTGGTCAAATGATTCTTTGTCAGGCAATATTTATAGTTGAGTTTTAAGTTTCAACGGAAACACACTCAATACGGAGTTATGAATATTGGTCCTTTCTAGAATCAAGATTGACAGAGAATTCAATTTCTCGGAATGGTGAAATATTAGGAAGTTTATATCAGAGAGGGAACATACTTTCGGTATGTTCCTTTAGTTCAGATATTTCTTTTCGTGTATCACACGAATAGACTTCACACTTCTTACAGTTGAGACGTTTTCGCATATATATATATATATATATATATATATATATATATATATATATATATATATAATATATATATATATATATAAAATTGGTGAGCTTTGTAGTGTAATGTGGTGAGCTTTGCGTCATCTCACCAAAGCTTGTCATCCCACCGTAAGGTGTCATCTCACTGGACTCAATCCCACACACACACACACACACACACACACACACACACACACACACACACACATATATATGGGATTGAAAAAACTGATAGGATGGCGTTTAGGGTTTTTAGAGAGAGAGGGGATGACGACGGCACTCTCCGACAACGGGTTAGGGATCCTCGCCGATCCAGATACTATGGCAAGGCACTCCAATCTCGTCCAGCGAGGGTCTGGAAGAAAACTGAGAGACGAAGGTACTGGAGGCGCCGGAACTCGGGTCCAAATCTCAGCGCAGATGGTCTGGTTACACTATCAATTGAGAGCAAAGACTTTGAGCTTTTAGCTGAAGGGCAGTGTATCAGAATTTCAGAATCCAAATCCGGTAAGACACGATTCTTAACAATCTCTTGGGCTATTCCACACTGGTTGATAGTTATTATTACCAGGCATGATTTTTCAAATGAAAATTGGGAAATATCCCGATATGATGGGGATTTCTCTGTCAAAGTTTCTTGGGATTCTAATCGGTTTGGACATTTTGCACGCCTAGAGTCAAAAACAAGGTCTTCGCCTAATCAGATTATCATTCTTGCTGGTTTTCACTTAGAGGGTCTAGAACTTTTCAGTAAGGGTCTGTCTGAATTATTGAGGAACTCGAATTGTAATCACCTGACACAGCCTCTGCAAATTCAAGAAGGTCTTGGGTCAGTTAAAGTTTGCAAGGATGAGGGGTGGAGATGTTACCCCGGAGTTACCTCCGCTGATCTTTGTGATGAAGAACATAATAGTAGGCTAATTGTTGACCTCACTATGGAGAAAGAGATGGTTAGTTTGCAAAGGCCCACACCATTGGCAGAGGTTCCTTTAGACCAGGGCTGTCTGAATCTATTCCATCAAGTTATCAAGGATAACATTAACCTCTTCAGGAAATCAATTGCTAGCAAACAATTTCTAGATGCACTCAATAAAGGACAAATCCTCAATTACTCCGAGGAAGTCGTTAGGGTTACAAGAGAGGCAATCAAAAGCTTTGAGTATATTGATGCAGCAACAATGGAAGGTGCAAGGTATCCGGTGTACCTTGCCTATGCGAAAGAAGATATGAATGTCGTTCTAGCTCATTTATGCGGAGATCAAGATCGATTAGGATTATATTTTTGGCATGGGTCATTTACAGTTTTTGTTTGATATATTATCTTTGTTGCAGTTTTTGGGTTTTGAGATTCATGAGTAGGTGCTTTAAGCTATCAGGTCTTGTTGAGTGTGCACTCACGATTGGTGGAACATCTTTAGATTAGAGATTGGGTTTAATGAAGGATAGCCATTTATCTCTTGGGGTCCTAGTTTGCA